AGTGTTGCCAGATGGTATATTTCTATACCAGATTTCACAAATCTGGTATTTTCAGGAGTCTGGTATGAATATTTTAGATCTGGTATATTTGCCTAAATCTGGTATTTTCTGACTGCTGCAAATTTACTGCATTAAGTTTCACCTCTGATGTTTGAACTTCCTCCAGCGTAGGTGTGGATTATATAGATTACCTTCAGAGAGGCGCGACTAGAGGTTTCCCGCCATTTTTGGAAACGCAGGTTTACCGCTTGATGAAATAACCCTCGCAGGTTTACAGCTGATGAAACGTAAACGAGCACCCAAATCATTCCAATTTTTATAACTCAAAAACAGATGCAAACAATCAATGCACAAATTGTGGAGTTCATCACGAGAACCGTGACGCAAACACAGATCATAACCATAACAGGAGGCAATGAGAAAAGCACAATTTCATGACGAATTTCGAAAACCAAGTTCAAATTGAAGATGGTGGACTCCAAACTTAGGTTGTCACTACAACCAGTTTCATCCTACAAGGATAAACGATTGCAATACCAGGCCCTGATGTTACTAGTACCATTATATACAAACAAGTCAGCAGTTAATTCCTACAACGCTCGTTACCACAAGGTTTGAAAACCTAATTGTAACGTAAACCCTATTCACAAATCTGACGAACTTCATAACTCAGACAGTTGTGTCAACTAGCTTCGTGAACCAAGAAGTTGTGTCCACGGCTTTCATTCCACAAGTTATTACGAGAACACAAATCAGTTATCAGACCATACCTGTCATTCAGACCAACACCGTCTTCCAGACAAGTTTCTTCACAATACCAAGTGGACTGGATACTCGAACGGTGACAAGCACGTCTGTTACTCAAATTAAAGGACAAACGATTTTTTTCAACTCTAGTTTCAACGCAAGTTACTCCACAGGATTACTTTGCGACCATTACAAGAACCGTGCCGCCCAGATATTGCTCTACTACTACCCCCCTCCGTCCACTGGAGGCTACAATTATAACCCGCCTTCGATTCCGTTCACATTTGGATTTTAATGTAAATTATTATCAACAAGTGTGTCTTAGCTGGCTTGTCATGTAAATAGAGAATAATTGTCGTAAATATGAATGAAATTACAAATTTTTTCGACGAGCAAGCGCTCACTTGAAATAATTTGCGGTTGCAAGGCCAGTCAGCTCGTGAACAACGTTAATTTTCGTACATGAAGCCAGTTTCTTCATGCTGGATGTTAACGATTTTTTTTGCTTGAAAGTTAGCTGCAGTCAAGAGGTGCTAGCTTCGTGAAATTTGTTATTCAGTTAATGCGTGTTAGTAAAATTTTCACCAAAATCATAGCTAAAATTTAATGCGGCGCACTTACGTTCAAAAACTACTCAATTAAAGAAATGCTGACTGACAGATATTCCGAGGAGGAGATGCATCAAAATGAGACCGTTGTGATTTTTTTACAAAAAATTCAATAGAAGTAATCAATTAAAAGTAATTAAACAATAGTAATTCTCGTTTACCAAAATTAAGTCAATAGACACTATTGTTCAAATTAACTACTGGAGAACATTTTAAATACAATTTGATGAGATTGTCCAGGAAGTCGTAATTACTGGGCGCTTCATAAATTTTCACACTAGATTGGTCTTTCTTGTAGTAGTCAAATAGTGCTATCATCTGCGAGGGATTTATTGAAATTAACAGAGCACCAATTTAGTTTCTTAGTTGATATGACGCTCCTGAGTTTCAAGTGACGGATACTATAAGGAATGCATCCACACCAAATTAATGTTCTTGTCTTGCCCACAGGACATGCTGTGGCTCGCGCTGGCGTCTTCTTGCTTCTCGGCATCCTTGACGCAGCGACAGTTCCGGCAGTTCGGTGGAGTCCCGCAGATGCAGGGATCCATCAACAATGGCTATTTGCCGCCTCGGCCTACGTCTGGCCCTGGAACATGTCAGCAGTCAACCGCGTTTGTCACGTCCACCCAGTATTCCAACCAAGTGGTGACCAGCACCGTATACAGCAACGGAGGTGGTCAGATCATCACACAAACAGTTTTCAGTACATAATTCATACCAACAACATTCTTCTCTAACCTTGTGTCAACAATCGTTGTCAACAGTGGCCAAATTCAGACCCAGTTCATTACTATAACGATCACTAATACTCGCACACAGTTTGTTACTCAACCAGGTGGAATTTCATTCGTGACGAGTACTCAGTTTGTTGACGTGCCTCACATCGACTTACAAACACGATTTATTACGCGTACCTTTCAAATTCCTTCAACGTGAGTCACAGCAGTGTTCTCAACGACAGTCATTCCACAACAAGTTGTGAGCACTATTTTTAATTCTCAGTTCGTTACCAGAACTATGATCATACCTGGTCAAACAAGAACTGTCGTCAGTACATTGTTCAGTACTATTTTCTCCACTGTTAGCATTCCTGGACAGACCATTTTTCAAACACAAACTGTCTTCAGCACAAACTTCTTTCCTCAAACGATTACGCTTCCAGGAGCTACTCGAACAGTTGTGTCAACCGTAATACAACCCATATTCACTACAATCTTCTCCACAGTTTTCTCTGGAAACATTCAAACCAGTTATGTTACTAGCACGCAGTTCGACAATAGAGTCATTAACTCTACATCTGTTACCCAGGTGAACAATTTCAACACGCGAACTGTTACGGTTCCTCAAGTGAGTACATCAGTTGTCATCCAAAACCAAGTGACGACATCCACTGGCTTCACTCAGGTTGTCATACCAACTTTCGTGACGGTAAGCAGAGGGAACGGAGTTGTAACTGTAACTCGGACTGTCTTGTCATCTCAAGTGATTCCAGGCAGTGGACAAACCGTGTTTATTACAAGGACCGTCTTATCGACTTCTTTCATCACCTCCACAGTATTCAACACCAATGTGCAGACTACAGTGATCACCATCACCCAGCCTTGCAGTGGTGGGGGCACCAATACTGGTGGATACAACTACACTCCTCCTAGCATACCGTTCAACCCCTTCAATTGAAAGTCTCGTGTCGCTGTGCACGATAATTTCATCTTTTTTTTACTACGAACAGATAACAGAGTAATGACTCTAATCATCAGTACACTGATGAATTGTAAATATATTTTGATGTTCTGTAGCTATTATAATATTAGTTATTTAAACAATATCATTTATCAGAACCCACAGCGTACAATTGCATTGAAAATGTAATCTGTTTATTCATGGCGCTATGAATTCATTCTTCATGTACGCTCGAATAGCCACACTGGAAGAAATTTTAGCATTCTGAGTAGAAATTTTACAATTCTGGATCATAATTATTTGCACGCCTGTAATAATTCTTGGCGGTCTGTGTGCGGTGAATACTTGTATCTGATATCCATTGATTACGTCAATGAATACGTCATAATGAGTGCTTACGTATTAATGTGAATAACAGATAACCACGCATTTATGTACGTTACAGCTTGGTGCATTTGGTTAGATCGTAACGTGTAATTTTTCTTGCACCGGCATCGTGGGTGTCACACCGCTGCCATGCAACGAGAATCTAGGCTTCGTTATGTACGGATCGTGTTGTCATTAAAGTACTGATCTAATGATCATGTTTTATTTTACTTTGAAAATAAGAAAGAATGGACGGACAGTTTATTACCTGAGAAATATTTCGCACACGAAAAGACTATTAAAAATAAGCTGTCACTTTGTCGTAATCGACTATCCTTACGAACAGTATGGATTGTGAACAGAGCCTCCTGCGAGGACGGCTTGTATGTACGCAAAAATCTACTGATTTAGATCTCCAGTCAACAATATACATACCTGTGTTCGCTACCATAGCTCCGATGGAAGTTAGGACAGATATCAAGTCTTGATGTCCAGCCATTCCCACGTTACTTAGGTAGAAATACTCTATATCGATTTTATTAATAATTCGAAGTTTGATTGCTAGACTAATTAAATGCAACTGTACGAGGTAATTTGACTAAAAATGGTGTAAATTACTTATTTAAAATTCGAACACTTAAGGGTAGATTATTTGAGATACTTGGAACATCCCAAAAATCGATCTAAAGGCAATATATACAGTACAAAGCTTTAAAGGAGAAATAAGTAATTAAAAGCCACTTCTTTGTATTTTTCATAGAAATGATAATGCTTACAATTACTTAAATGAATTATCTACATTATTTATTTTCCAGAGCATACCAGCTTTATCACTTTCCATGGCTTGCGAATTTTCACATCTTCAAGCGCGAAGAGTTCACAACGACGACGAATTTAAACTTTGGAGCAACGACCTCAACCTTTCTTACCGAGGTAACCATCTTCAAATGATGCATATCAAAAGTTCAATGAAGAATGCAAGACATCCCGGGAATTGCTTTTTGCGATGGCACAGACCAAATAAAACTTAAATCTAGAGTAAATCAATATTACTAGTATTTGAAATGGAGAAAAATCCCAGTTCCGTTATTATAGCGAGACCATTTGTCTTCGGCGAGAAAGCGGTGCTTCCAACCGAAGAATAGGTAGCACAGGAAATGCCTGACCTCATTCAAAACGCGTCCTTCTCAACGCATGACTAATTCCAAACGCTAATTTTCCTACACGTGGCTACAATCAAAGCATGCACTTCTTGCCGAATAATAGTTATTTGTACGGCTCATAAGTGAGGAGAATTTTCAGTGCAAGGGGAAGGGTTGCAAAAAGGCAAATATTACTGAATTATAAATGATCATAGGTGGAAACATTGAGCAGCAGAAGCGAAAATTTTGTTGGTCATGGAGGAGGAATGGTATGATTGTGTTCCATTGGAGCAATAAAACTCCCGTGAGCCAAACAAACAGGGATCAATAGCGAGGGGAAACAAACAGGGATCAGGGGAAACAAACGAAGAGGGATCAATACACTATACAGCTGGGGAATAAGACGCATTAGGTGCCACGATTGAGGTGATCCAGTCGAGGTAGGCTGCGACCCGCGTGTAGACACTCATCTGTCCGCACACTGCGGGACCGAAGCTGACCACCCCTGTCACCACACGCGGAACGCATGTCCCGGGAGGAGCTTCAGGAACATCGAAATCTTCCTGCATCAGAGGCCCACCGCTGTCGCCCTGAGATGTAACATAACCGCTGTTAGAGACCAAATGTAGCTGCACATGACTTCCTCACACGAGTCCTTAGTGTCAGCACACAGCTTACCAAACACAAGTCCTTGTTTTCAGCACGCACAAATCACCCCCACGAGTCCTTGTTGTCCTTACAAGTTCAGGACATTTTCGTCCACGGTCATGCTGATGTTTCATCGTCCTCTGTCTCCAAGACGTCGATAGGCAGGTCGCCCTGCCCTAGGTCCCGAAAATAACGTTGAACGTGTACTGTGCATCTACCCTCGTTTCAGCCAGCTTATGTAAAACCCCAGCAGGCATCCGACGTTGAAACAACGTTGATTATTGGTTGATTTCAGGTTGAAATGTTGAACAACCAAAATTAAACGTCATATCAACGTCGAAATCTGAGCAACACTAGAAGGGACGTAAAACAACCTTATTTCAACGTTGAAATAACGTCGATATTGGTATGTTGAATTTTTACTAATTTTTAAACGTTGAATCAATGTTGATTTCAGGTTGAAATGCTGGACAACAAAAATTAAACGTCCGATCAACGCCGTAATCTGACCAAAACTAGAACAGACGTAAAACAACCTTATTTCAACGTTGAAACAATGTCGATATTGTACGTTGAATGTTTATTTATTTTTAAACGTTCAATCAATGTTGATTTTAGGTTGAAATGCTGAACAACCCAAATTAAACATCCGATCAACGTCGAAATCTGACCAAAACTAGAACAGACGTAAGACAACCTTATTTCAACGTTGAAACAATGTCGATATTGGTACGTTGAATGTTTATTTATTTTTAAACGTTCAATTAATGTTGATTTTAGGTTGAAATGCTGAACAACCAGAATTAAACGTCCGATCAACGTCGAAATCTGACTAAAACTAGAGAGGACGGAAAACAACCTTATTTCAACGTTGAAAAATGGTCGATATCGGTACGTTGAAATGTTTAGCTATCTACCAGCATGGAACTAATGTTATCACACCAACATTGAATGAAATACATATACATAAGTGTACGATTAATGACCAGATAATGCAGTTCAATTTTCAAGGCGTCGAACAATTCTTTAGCCTCTTTCTATTGCTCATGCACGCGAGCTGCCGTGGTCAAGGTTGCTAAGGCGTCGCGCGGTCTCCAGCGATCCCGGGTTCGAATCGTGCCACGGACGAAAAACAGGTTGGTTCTTCAACGTTGATTCAATTAGAGAATTTGACGTTGCAGCAACGTCGTAGTAGCAACATCGATTCAATGTTGCATTGTAACGTCAGTACGACGTTGCATGAAAGATGTTGCTTCAATTTTAATTCTAAACCTCCTTTCACCCCGATCTCAATGTCGTAATACGTAGTTGATTCAACCACCGAGTGCCTGCTGGGACTCTGTTGCTTGTTACTTACTGAGGGTAATGGCCCATCATAGAACAATCCGGGATCTTGCTAAAAAACGCATCCAGTCGTCTTTTGAAAATCGCTAAGAACTCTTCTCCTCTCAGTTCTTTCAGCAAGGCATTGATCAGCCTAGGTACTGCCACGGTAAGAGATCCCTCCTGCATGGAGAGTGTGAACTATGGCCCCAGCTCGGTTGTTACCTTGGGCAATCATGAACAGTGTCCCTCTTCATCAGTAAAGATATGTCGCTATTTATCTATAATAAGTTACTTCTTCTATATTTCTGTGCCGTCCGATGCCTAGTAGCGATGCAGCGTCCCCGCTTCTGCGCCAACTCTGTACCTCAATACTTCGAAAGTAGTTCTGTTGAATTGCATATTATTCACTAGAGCCTAATCGTAGATTGCCGATGTAGTCCTGTAACCTCTCGCAGGCCAGGTCGTCCGTGATTCTTATTACCACTGTTGTATCGTCTACAAATGACGATATAGATTCATATGTAGGTTCTGAGTTGATGTCGGCGATCTGGATGAGAAAGAGTATCGGTCCAAGCACCGAGGGTCCCAGCATCCTCGCTTCTCTGGATTTCTAGTTTCCAACTTCGACAGCTTGTACCTTGTCAGTAAGGTAGTTATGGATCCACCATAACAGGCTTCCTTGCACCCGAGCAGCTTTTGATTTCTCAAGACCACCCCATGGCAGACTTTCTCAAAAGCCTTAGCAAATTCAAGCATACCACGTCTATGCCAGCTTTCTCCTCCAGCAGGGCCACAAGACGGTGAAGGTTCTCCAATAACTGTGCCAAACAGGAGCGATTTCGCTGAAAACCGTGTTGTCTATTATTATACTTCTGTTCAGTCTCTTCCATATACTGGACAAGCCTTCCGTCCACTCCTTTCGCAAAAATATTGATCACCTTTGAGGTCAAGGCCACTGCGGTCTGGAACTTTCGAATCTCTTACCAGGGCCTGCTTTGTGGATTGGCGTTACCAGTCTCACTTCGATACAGAAAGGAATGAGTGCATCCGTCAAACGGGTTTTCCAGACTATAGTGAGAGGCTCTTTCAATGGCTCCGATACACTTGATCTTCATTACTGCCGTAATTATATCTAGTCCTGATGCTGAAAAGGAGCCAGTTCTTCGTGTTCTTCTCCCAACGGTGATGTTTAGCTCGTGACAATTTTTTCAATTTTGCCTTCGTTTGCGAGTTAAATGGCTATACATATTTGTATACTCTATGTCAATGCAAATTAAAAATCGGCTTCAGAAATGCCGGCCGTTTCTCTGTATATCCGTGTAACTAACGAAGGCAAGTTAAAAAAATATTCGCAAGATAAACGTTACCTACCATTGGGAGGTTAGGCTTGTATATTCAAAGTTTAGTTCAAATCTGTTCAGTAGTTTGAAAGACATTTCTTGGTCATTGCAAATTTCAACCCGAATTGCCATATAATTTACTAATAAAGGTGAAATGGAAAAATTTTACGAGCTGCTAAACTTCACCGTTAGGTCCTGATGAATGCGTGTAACAAGTTCCATCGAGCTGCGTTCATTAGTTTGGGCGATATTCCTTCGTCATTGAATTTGGAGATTGGCCGTGAGACCGACCGGCAATTTGTCCCAGACGTCTTTCCAATCCGTTTTTCGATGTGAGAAGTCAGGCCCTGACAGTCCTTCTCGGGATAAAGACCTATCTGGATTTTAATTCAAATTGTCGTGTCCACCATCAACAAAAGATAATGAGACAGTGAAGTCTCCTCAACCAAAACATCATCCACCATTCTTTTGTCGTTAGTGAAGAGGAGATCGAACATACTGTGTTACCATGTTGGCAGCCGTACTTGCTGCCTAAGTAAGTGTTTCGCAGCCAGCTGCACTAATTTGGCTTAGAATAGAATTGTCGGCACTGAAGTAATAGGCCCATGGCCTATTGCTGATTCTTGTAATTTTTGTGACTTGATTCCACAAGGGATCCGGCCTTCTGAACCCGATCGTTCAATACGGACGATTGTTGGAGATAGCTGCTGGACTTGTTGCCCTGTGGTCCGTAAGGTGCTAGGCATTTTAAGACTGAACATATGCTCCTGCATTTGAGGAGCGCCCAGTCGGCTCGAAGTTAATAGGTTTTGAAATACACGAAGAAGAGGTTCTCAAGCGCCTGGTAGCTCTAAATCCCAACAAGTCATGTGGACCAGACGGCTTCCATCCCAGATTGCTCAAAGAATTAGCAACCGTTCTGGCCGGCCCATTGACAGTATTCTTTCAAAAACCCGTGAACGACGGAACTTTGCCGTCCGATTGGAAAGAAGCTCAAGTAACATCATTGTTCAAAAAAAGGTGACAAAAGTAGCCCTTGTAACTATCGTCCTGCCAGTCTGACAAGTGTTGTTTGTAATCTGTGGAATCTGTTATGAGGGATAGGATTATCGATCACTTGACTGTTCACCCACCTATCAGATTGTCAACATGGTTTTATTGCCGGTAGATCCTGCACCACTAACTTATTGTCTACGTTGAACGATTGGACGCGCCTTCTGGATGAAAGGGGAGCGCAGCCGTGCATCACCAATTTTGTGCACCAATAAGCCCTGAATCGAACGCTTTTGATCTCTCCGGACATCCACCATTCAGCCGTGAACCACTCGGCTTTGTCTTCCTCAGGCCTCGCATAGAACCTGCCGTGCACCACCAGCCCGCGGATCGAATCTGACTTCCGGGCATCGTTAAATTACGTAATTTTACTTTCACCACATCTGAGGTTAGGTTTCAGATAGCATAGTTCAGTTCTGTTGCAATATTTATCGTCCTTCGACAAGTGGCCGTTCGACCGAGGGCTGGTTCGACCCACGGCCTAGATACGGACTGCTTGAAGTGTTGAAGGCTACGTTCCGGAAGGCAGGAACCATGATGGTCCATTACATCCAGGGCAGTGTTGGTCTTCGGCAGGCGACACGATGAAAAGGAGCCAGTGCATGCATTGTACCTCGATTTTGCCAAAGCATTTGACAGTGTTCCGTATGAGAGGCTGTTACGTTATGTGAAGTCTCTGGGAATTGAGGGAAACGTACTCCAATGGATCAGAGATTTTCAAGAAGGTAGACGACAACGTGTCAGCATTAACGAAATCGCGTCAGACTGGGCATCAGTGCGCTGTGGCGTGCCACAAGGAAGCGTTCTTGGGCCTATTCTGTTCGTATGCCGACGACACAAAAGTTTATAATACAGTGAAGGATGCGTCAAATAAAGTGCAATTGCAAGATGATCTTGATAGTTTAGTTAACTGGGCTGATACGTGGCAGATGCGGTTTAATGCTGACAAGTGTAAAGTACTTCACCTCGGGAAGAATAATGAACAGCAGGATTACAGTATGAGAAGGCATGGTTACAACGAGAGAGTAATGATTGAAAAGTCTAGTGTGGAAAAAGATCTCGGAGTTTATGTCGACAAGGAGCCGAAATTTTCTAAGCATGTTGAAACGAAAGCTAATACATCCAACAAACTTCTTGGACTAATCAGACGCTCTTACGAGTTCCCAGATGCAGAAGCGATGAAGCAGTTGTTTGTTGCTGTCGTGCGCCCGAATCTAGAGTTTGGAAACGTTGTGTTGTAACCGAGATTTGAAAAGGACAAAATTTTAATAGAGAATGTTCAAGGATGTGCAACAAGGATAATTCCAGGCTTGAAGGGCAAGTCTTATGAAGAAAGATTAAAGATTATGAAGCTTCCAAGCCTCAGTTATCGACGTCTACGTGGGGACCTCATTGAAGTATACAAGCATACTCATAGTTTATACAAGGTCCCCGAAGGATTACTAGAATTTGAAACAGGAACCAACACCAGGGGCCACGGCTATTAACTAAAAAACTGCGCTGCAACTTGTTCCACGCGACAACATGCATTTCTTCCCGCTTCGAATCACCGATATGTGGAACAGCCTCCCTGATTACATCGTTGGCACTCCGAGTATGAACGCGTTCAAGAACAGACTAAATAAAGCTGTGGAGAAATATATGTTCAGACTTGAAATGCCTAGCACCTTTTCGAACCCGGTGGAAGGCTAGTAGCTATTTCAAACTATCGTCAGTCGTGAAAAGATCCGGTCAAATAACACGATTTTAGATCTTCTGTGAATTAGTCACGTAAAGTTCAAGAATCGGCGACAGGCCGCATCAGGCCCACCCTTTAGCGCCTATATCACTATGTTATGTTAATAAAGCAGGGCCGAGAACGCTTCCTTGTGGCACGCCGCTGAGCACCGAAGACCAGTCTGATACGGTCCCATTTAATACTGACACGTTGTCGTTTCCCTACTAGAAAATCTCTGATCCGTTTGAGTACATTGCTCTCAGTTCCCAAAGACTTCAATTTACGCAAAAGCTGCTCTTGTGGGGCGCTGTCAAATGCCTTGGCAAAATCGAGGAACACTGCATCTATAGTACTGGCTCCCAATCGTCCAGCAGGCGGGTTCATTCATTCAGAGTAGTCAAGAACAAGAGGTTAGTGGTGCAATATCTGCCGGCAATAAAGCCATGTTGACAGTCTGATAGGAGATTATTAGCAGTCAAATTATCGATCAATCGATCCCACATAACAGGTTCCCTCACTTTTTAGTCAGCCGGCAAGATCCCTTAATTCAAAGTCTTTCGAAAAAATTACGTCAAAGGGCCTGCTAGGACTGATGCTAACTCTTTGAGAAATCTGGGGTGGAAGCTGTCCGATCCACATGACTTGTTGGGGTTTAGAGCGACCAGGCGCTTGAGAACCTCTTCCCCTTGTATTTCAAAATTTGTTAATTTAGAGCCGATTGGGCGCTCCTCAAAAGCTGAAATGCTGTTCAAATTCTCTTCAGTGAATACGCTCCTAAAAAACTGATTAAGAACGTTAGCCCTGCCTTCATCTTTCGTTTATCTACATTCAAATCAGAAATACCGTCCTTTGTCTTGCACTTCCAGCTAACGTACAAAAAGAAGGCTTTCGGGTTCTTTTTTGTATTTTTGGCAAGATTTTTTTATCGAAGATTTTTACTGCGGTGCGACAGCTTTCTTTAACTTGATTTCGATCTCTTGCGTATAGGATATAATCAGAATCGCTACGAGTCTAAATAACGCTGGTAGGCTTCTTTCATGGTTTTCAGCTTAGCTAGAACTATACTGTTCTCCACTGAGATTTTTTGGCTCTACCGAGCTAATTTTAGGTACACACGCATCAACTGCAGACATAACCGTGTCCTTGAGAAATGACCACGACTCAGCCACATTCATGTCCTTAATACTGTTCGAAATATTCACTGCTTCACGGAGTTTTTCATAGTCACCTTTCGCAAAATTTAAACGCTCACGCTTCCGAGGCGTCTTTTCTGTACAGCTCTTAATACTAAAAAACAATTATTGGTGTTGGCTCTTGGCCAATGGAGTCTCGTGACGAAGCTCATCTAACATTGATTCATCACTAGTAAACACCAGGTCTAGAATATTGGGAGTCTCTTTACTCCTAGAATTGGTTGACTTTGTAACATGCTGGACTAGGAAGGAGTCTTTCACAGAATCCATGAACAAGGATGCTAGGCGATGGAGAGGATCCTCCTGTCCAGTCAAGTTCTGGACGATTAAAATCACCAACGATCAACGTGTGTGACCTACGGAAAGTTTTGCTCGGTAAAAGACTGTTTAGTACTTTATCGTTATAAGAGGAACTGTTTGGCAATCTATACACGATGCACATGAGGCGGCTATCTTTGCCTCTGAGAGAAAGTTCGCACCACACTGATTCTCTCGTCAATCGATGGTCTGCAGATAACAACTTGCTGGGCCCCATAAGAGGTTATAATCCACAGAGATATACCTCTACTGCACTGCTCTTCATTCAAGTTGTGAAAACAATTAAAACATGGCAACTGAAATTCAGCAGGTACAATTTCCCTCCCGTGATTTTTATGGAGTGTTTCTGAAATACAGATAATGTCTAAGCATTCGCTCGCGATCACAGTTAAAAGTTCACCTTTTTTGTTCAAAACGGAATCCGAGTTCGTTTAAAATTGTTTTAAAACTTTTTGTGCACACTCACTTTGATGTATGTGGTTACTTCTTGCCTTATTTACAGGCCTGGATCTATGTACATGACTTCTTACTTGTCTTCCAGCTACGCAGTCTGACCGTCTGCGGCCGGTGTTGTCTTGACATCGTGGGAGTGGTTGACCTGAGTTTCCGTGCTTTTCCGCCTGATTCTCTCCTGCCATTTCTTGCGAAAATCCGCTCTCTCTAAAGAGGTAGCATCTTTCTTAACAAAGACTGAATTAATTAAATTCTGGAAATTCACTTAGTTTTCTCGCTGCCTTGAGCACATGTCCGACCTGGGCTGTATTCTGCACAGTCACCAGCAGCGGTCTACAGGTGGTAGCATCTTTCGATCGCAGCCTCCTGCATGCCGTTATATTCATAACGACGATAAGTGCCTTTGCACAACAATCAAGAATAAACGCAGCGTCTCGTTTCTGCGAATAACTGAGCAATCTGTCTTGCTCAACTTTGCGCAATTGTGGCAGATGATATCCCTGCAACGATCACAAGCCACTGTAGCGTCGTCGACATTAACCGAAAGCAGCTTGCAAAATTAACAAATTTCCCATCGCTCATTTTGTGATTTGATCATCGCATTCTAACAGGTCTAAAGGCCTTTCCAATTAATATTTTTCCTCTCTGTCCAGCAATCATAAAATGCAAGAGGAAAAACGTAAGTTGAAAACTGAGCTAAGTTGAGTAAAAATTGTACAAATTTCCAAGTGCTGTAAAAACTCGGTTACCCGCTGAGAGTTAGCAGCTTTCAGAATCCGGTGGGGTCAGCGGGGGTAAGGTATTCAAGGTAGAGATAGGCAGAGCTTGGACAATAAACAAAGGCTGTGTTGTCCTGCGTTGGTGACACAGTGTGTTTCCCTCACTCGCTGCAACGCTACCCTCACTGGCTATAAAGCCCGCGTTAATTCAAGATGAAAAACACTTACTATAGGCTTGTTCTTTCTATTCGCACTCTCTTTTACTGACTTCACTGATATTCGGTCATTCACTGATACGAATCATAAAAAATATATGCAAAAGAGTTCCGAAGCGGCACAGTAAAATTTTAAAAATTTTGGACCACCAACACGAGCGTCGTTTGCTCTCGACCACGGCTCGAACTGAAACCCCATCGTGGACATCACTACCAAAACTGTCATTGCTTGTCCAATTTATACTAGAAAGATTGAAGTCTCCCTCTCCCCCATTATCAGGTTGAGGGAAAGTTGTCCTGGGATCGGGTTATCAAAACTTCGTATTTTTCAATACTTACGCACGAAAAGATACGTATTGCGTAAGCACGCCCTAATTTCGGCATTATCAGAACTTGCGTACGAAGATATACCAGAGGCTTTGAATTTCTTTATATTCTGTGCGTTGAAGCCTTCTCTGTTAAACATTTTTAATTTTTTTAAAGAAACCTGGACACTTTTATTCTAAAAAGGCAATAAAAAATGCCGTTTTCACGATAGCATAACAAGTATTTAACGATTAATATGATAAAATGAACAACGAGAGTAAAATTGGTGTGAATTCGTCTTATTTCATTGTTTAGCTCCACCAATAAAGTCATTTTCTATCGACATGTAATAATAGAAAATTCATTCGATGCATGCCTAATATAATTCCACAGATATAAAAGAGGATATTTTTATAAATAAAAAATAGAAGATTTACCGTAAAGTGATAGTAGAGTCTAGACACTAGTGTGATACTAGAGTCTAGACACTAGTAACTAAATGATTACCAATCGCTTCACCCATTCAAAAGTTGTACTTAACTCTACCTACGACACCGCCGAAAAGGCGTAAAGATACGTTCAGCTTCTTATACGTAGCTTACCGCGCAAATGTTTTGATAATACCACCGCTGGAGTTACGTCTTCATAGCAGCATTTACGCAACACGTAAGTCGCTACATGTATATAGCGATGTTTTGATAATCCGGCCCTGAATTTCAGCACACAACTCATCCCACACGACTCCTTGTTGTCAGCGCACATCTCATCCCACACGACTCCTTTTTGTCAGCACACAACTCACCCCACACGAGTCGTCAGCACACAACTCACCCCAAACGAGTCTTTGTTGTCAGCACACAACTCACCACACACGATTCCTTGTTGTCAGCACACAATTCAAATCACTCAACTTCTTGTTGTCCGCACACAACTAAAACCACTAGACTCCTTGTTGTCAGTACACAATTCAAACCACTCGACTCCTTGTAATCAGCACACAACTCACCCCACACGAGCCCATATTATCAACACACAAATCAAATTAATCGAGTCCTTGTTGTCAGCACACAACTTAAACCACACGAGTTGTTGTTGTCAGGACAATCCTCACCCAACTCGAGTCCTTGTTATCAGCACACAACTCAAACCACTAGTGTCCGTGTTGTCAAGACACAACTCACTGCACAGGAGTCCTTGCCGTCAGCACCAGCGCAGATCATGTCTTTGGTTATGCCCCAGGGTGGTCGGAGGGCTGGGTGTTCGTTGAAACCTTGCCAGCAGCGGTTGGGTGCGATGTAGTCAATTGCAACCTTCCGCAGACGGTCGACTGAGCCCAGTCGGTCATCTGAAAATTAGGAAATTAAGAAAAAAATTGATTGTTGCATAGATGTTAACCGAAATTTAAATGCGATTTAAAAGGAAATAACGAGGCAGCCTTGCGTCTTCTAAAAATGGCTTAATCTGCCTACACTCAGTGCCGCCCCAGCCGGCGACGACGAAGGTGGAGGTGTGCTCAAAGTGCTGCACCGGCGAGATGGGGAGGCAAGCTGGCAACACGCGCGCCGTCAGCCCCGCCTGAAATCATCAGACGAAATTTTGCTTAATTTTAGAATCTTCACTCACCTCAACCTGCACTGCAAATATCTTACGCGATTGCATTGAGAAATTACTGTAAATATTGTAGCCGTAAATTGCTGTAATGTTATTAAGTGTAATTGTAGTAAACTACTGTAAATTATATTGTAAATTTTTGCCTTGGGTAGTGACTGCTGTGTAACGTTTGCATAGGAATAAATGTACGGAAATTAGTATAGATTGGCCGAATTTGTTCCTTTAAGCAGGTTTCATTGAAGACTAAAGAATTTGTTTTATTGATTATTCTCTTATCAGTTTTTTAATATATCGAACAATATTTTTCGTTTGCACTGGTAAATCGAAAATCAACGCACCGATGGACATTTTTAGTTCGTTGACAACGTTTCGAGAGTATCAATCATTCATTCTAGAGTTACAAGAAGCATTGAGTGATGAAATTTGGATCAACATAAGTACGAAATCATGGAAATAGGATACTACTCAAAATAAATTTAATATTATAATATAATAGCGGTTTCAGCGTTTAGTAGGCCGTAGGCCTGTCGCCGATTCTTAACATCGCAGAACGTTCACAGCATTTTGCGGTCTCGAACTCGCAACTCACTGCTGCAATTCTACTGTGCTTAACCGCCCGGCCTCCTAGTCGATTCTGACCAGAAACTGGCGCTCAGAGATGGGATCGAACCCGCGCCTCTCTGCTCCAATCCTGGTACTCTGAACTGTAACCACTAGCTGGGCCACCCCAGTGGTTAGAAATAATTGTATTTGGTTAGAAATAATTGTAAAATCATGAAAATATGTACATGATCAAGAAGTAAAACAGCAACAATTACACCGAAAACAGTATCAAGGTTCTGACAAATCCGGCAATTTGAAGGTTGATGGCTCGCCACCGGACACCTATCCTTAATGATGAGGACCCGAGAAATCGCGAGTCGGTTGCATGGCGTCGTGGTATGGCATGACTACGCTGGTGTATTCTTCCAGTGTGCACTTTGTGGGCCTCCATCAGATTGTTCATTGGTCCACAAGACGGAAGGTGATACGTCAGACGTCCGCTTAATGTCGTAGTTGAGAGCCCGATGTAGGGAGAAGTCTACAACCTTCTCTATTGCAGGAAAATTTATAGACTACATTTGTCTCTTGGAATACTCCCGTTGTTTGCAGGGGTCATTGTTCATTAACAAGATTCTGTATTTTCTTGTTTTTGTAATAGATCAGTAGTTTGATTTTATTATTAGTTGCGCTGTAGTGACTCGAATTTATAACTCGCACTTTATTTTTCTGTTAAAGCCGTAATTAATTTTATTAAACCTTCAAACTCGTTGATCATCAATCTCTATTTTTATATGTAACTTTATTATCTTGAACTTGCCTACTTATTTCGGATTTCATAAATTTCACTATTAAATACTTATAGTTATATACAAATATTCAGTCAGTAAATCTTGTCAATTTTCGAGCACGAATAACACTCGTGTATTTTCTGAATAATAAAAATTCAGGGAACGCCGAAAAACTTTTTGTTTGAATCGTTCTGTGAACGATTGGGAAATCGTTCACGATATTTTTTCTAGATTTTTATTATTGTTGTTTTCAATTTCTTTAGATTTTTATTAGTGTTGTTTTCAATTTCGTTATCAGGGTGGCAAAATGTACATATTCGTGTTGATGAACTCGCAGTGAGGCCGGTTGCATCACATAGATTTCCGACCTTCTCTGCTTCAGAAAAAAGTGACGTGGGCGGTCGAGTTTGTCGTTAAGGCCAGGCAGTCGTGTCCTGCGAGCCGATCAGCAACAGTTATATGTTTGGGCCAATATTGTGGCAGCTATTGACTTGTGCTGATACGGTTTCTGCTCTTGTTTCCGCAATGTGCCCTCTCCTTTTCTGGACTGTATTTACTAGCCACCTGCTTTGTCACTTTGTTAAACTATACCTATCTGTTAAGTTCCTGATTTTAAAGTGCACTAGTGTGTGTCAAATAAAAGTGTTTTAAATCGCAGTGTTGACTGGAAAACTGTGTTTTGTTACACCAATAGTTCTAAGAGAACTTCTAGATTTAACGTTCGTGACTGACGTTCCGCCCTTTTTGTGGTGGCCATCTTTGACGTTTGGAACTTCCGGTAACAGTACCATCAAATATTCTGAATTCTGTTTAGAGTGCCCAGTGAGTAACCTCTAGCCAGTCGCGCTCTAGCTCGATTTTCTGACGTCGTGGTGTAAACAACTATCAGGGGTAAGCTGCCAAGTCAACCTTTGAAATTAAATTCAGATAATTGTGATTTGATATTTCTAACATAATAACTGAATTACCGTTTGTATTCCCAATATTCTTTCGCTATTGTTGTTCTTTTATTTTGTTCATGTCGTGTCTTTGTTCTAACAACATTCCAAAACCTCAGGTGTTGGTTGGCGCCATCATTATTCAATCCATCAATAAACATAGTATTGAATCTTCATATTCTTTACTCCATCCTACACAATATTCACGCTAATTGATTAGAGAAGATGGACGGCCGTTTTTAACTTCCAAATCTAATGTCAAACCCATTTAGCAACCCTCTTTCCTCGCGATGTGTTGTGAACGAAGGATTGAAGGATCCATTTATCTGCTTTGCAACAACTGGTCATTTGATTCTCAAATTAGATGGTGGTGACGTTTGCGTTAGTCTCTGGTTCGTTATTGAGTCTGTTTTGGTTAAATCGAAGTTTTGAGATTTTTGTGTCGCTTCTTCTATTGGCAAATCCATTATTTAGTAAGATTCTTTTGCAATTTCTCAGCTCCGTATGATGAATGATTGATACATTCTAAACGGTGTTGTATTTCGAAACGAAATAAAATTGTCCATCGATGCCCTGCCTTTCGATTTACCAGAGCTAACAAAAATATTATTCGATTTATTTGAAAAACTAATAATAAAATTGCCAATAAAACAAATTTTCTGGTCCTCAATGAAACCTGCCGAAAAGAAAAAATTTAGATATACATGTATAATGTAAAAAGATATGAAATGTACATATGTATATGAATGTCTGATAAATGACGATGATCAAGATCTTGCCAAACGAAAAAGACGATGTGCTTTGTGATCGCGATTTTGATGTAGAACACTTCTCGCTGAACGTTATTCTCTTGGGTTATGACAGTGCAAAGATGTTTTTTCCAATTATCGACTAATATTTGTACAGAAAAAAAGGGAGGCTTAATGAATGTATATTCCATACCTGGGTTGCCAGCAAATGAAACGCTCTTGCAATTTGAATATGTAAACTTTTGAATAACTAAAATAAATCTAGTTAATCCTGTCGTTCACGAGGAACACTGGAATCCATGCATTGGTTCTGGATAATGATAGTGAAGCGCAGAATCTTATACATGCGCATCAAACGTCCATCCGTCATGTGCAGAGAACGGAAAGAGCTCAGCACAATATTTTCTTCTAGTGCAGCAGATTGAAAATTGAAAGCTCGACGATCCCTGAACTTTCAGAATCACTCCATCCCAAATTTCGGCATTCCACCCAGTTATGAAAACTTTACTATTCTCTCCAAAAGATGAACTTTCAGGTAATTTTTTATCCCGACACGATATGAATCGTGGAAACGCTTCAAACGATCCCTGTTCATATATTTGTGGTGCTAGGCGTCAAACAGACGAAGGCAAATAACGTGTATAAATGTACAAAAAATTACGCAGAAATAATAATCAGTCATGGGAGTTATCACTCACGGGATGTTCGAGTTTGAGGAGCCCGATGTTGTGGTACCATTTCTGGTAGGCAGGATAGGAGAAGATCTGCGTCACCTGCCCGAGATAATTTAATTACACTTCAATATACATTGTTGGCAAAGATCCTGGTGGCTTAGCCAGGATCATTGAACGAATCCGAATTAAATACTGATTCTTACTAAGCATAAGTAAAATGTACAGATAACTCATAATATACCCTAGCAAAATGCCGTTTGATACACACTGTTAGATTCTCTGGCACCGGCAAACCAAACATAAAATACCCATTGTTCATACGAAATATTGAAGATAATTATACGTTAAGATTTGCTTGGATCATATTTGTAGGCTTTCAAGCATTGCTAGTTCTGCCATAAAGCTCCAAAATTCAAACTATGAACCACTTTTTTCCTCTCAGTTATGGTATCATGGGTGGAATTTCAGGCAATTGAGTGAATTGACCCCCTTAGCAAGCCAGCGCCGAAGTAAATGAATTATATTTGGATGATAATGCTATAAAAGAGTTCTATCCATATGCTTTTTTTAAGAAAATCAAATAAGAGTTCAATAAGAGTTCAAATTCATGAGCGTTCAAAAAATACTCAATGAGAGTTCAAAAAATAAGAGTTCAAATTGGGTGCTCAAGGCTTATATCAGTAGGAGAGGCTACACACGCCACAGGCGCGTACATTGGCGTGGTAGTCTCAAGCAACACAACAAATTATCCTAACCAATGAAAACAATGACCGTGAATTCGTAATGGAAGGCAACGATGACTAACGTTAATGGTTTGTTCGATAGGCACCGAGTCAGAGGATCGCTCTTTGATGATTTCTTCCCCCGCGAGCCCCGGTGGCAGTCCCAGATTAAGGCGCGGTAGCACTCCCCGATCATGCACTGAGCGGTCGTGCTCCCCAAGCCTCACCACCATCGTGAGGTTGCGGCTAAACGCAGCAGTCAGTCAGGGGTTACGGGGTAAACTCTAATGAATTTCATGGCCGTAAGTTAATTGTGACTTTGGTTTATTGAAACAGAATCGAGTACCTGTCAATTAATTCCGTACATTAACGAAAGATAAATTCTTTCTTGTGTAGTATTTTTCGGCATAAAACAAGGAAGTCGAACTATTGAATGCATCCAAGTATAACGTCAATGCTAGGAGAGATAGTCGCGGACTTAGAGATAGGTTTTGTCATTTTATATTGCATGCATACTTTTTATTACATAATTTGTTCCATTCAAAGTGACTAAAGGATATATTCTGATATAAAATTGTTTGAAACGATAGTCACGCATGCAAAACGTTCAGAGCTGTATATATGTATGCTGGTTCTTGGCGATCAAATATGAATTAATTATAAAATTCAAATAACATATGTTTATGTCCACTTTAGAGCACAATCCTGGGTCAGCGATGCAACAGCGAGGACTCGTCCGGAATAACTGCCACTCACTGGATGCAGTGAGCAGCAGTGAGCACGAAGAAGGGCGTGATGAGCGACCCACCGCACTGCCACACTAGACCTTCCTCCCGCCACCAGCCCACCGCAGCCTGTAGCACACCAGCCGTACGTCTCACTAATTCAGCTGCTAACAAACGGACCGATGAAACCGAGTCATGTATCCTTGTACATGCTCCTACAGCCAGTAGTGCACAGTGTCGAAACAAAAGTCCCAGTTCATAATTGTTGTGGTTTTAAAAATATTTAGTTTTCACAAATACACGTGCACTGGAGACTTTCCATGGTGATACACACCTAGACTTTGTATAGAGAGACTAAGGAATACTTTCTCAATTGCGAATTTCACGAACCGAAAAACGAACAATCAATCAATCAAACAAAAAAAAACGAACAATCAATTAATCAAACAAAAAAAAACGAACAATCAAACAATGACAATTTTCTCAGATTCTACTTAAATGACTATTAATTTTTTTGGAAGCCTTAACAATCACCCATCCGTATCTATATCACAATGAAAAACACTACCATTTGGTCCTGGAAGTCGACAATAGATCCCAAGTTTACACGACGAAAAACACTACACTCGGATCCACACAGTTGACTAGAGGGCCCAAACAAGAACACCACACTCGGGTCCCAACAGTCGACTAGAGGTCCCAAACAAGAACACTAAACTCGGGTTCCAATAGTCGACTAGAGGTCCCAAACAAGAACACCACACTCGGGTCCCAACAGTCGACTAGAGGTCCCAAACAAGAACACTAAACTCGGGTTCCAATAGTCGACTAGAGGTCCCAAACAAGAACACCACACTCGGGTCCCAACAGTCGACTAGAGGTCCCAAACAAGAAAACTAAACTCGGGTTCCAACAGTCGATAAATATTCTTAAGTAATGAATGGGTAGCCACCACAACTTCCTACATGACTCACAATGTGGGGGAACTCCCCCAGCAAGGCCTCCTGCCCCCCGTATATGAGAGGCCGTGAAGTGATGCACGAGCTTGTGAGGTCCTGTGAGGCGGCACTCCAGTATTGCGTCCACTTTGAGCACACTGCCAGCATACGAATATTATTACTTACACCAATAAACTGACATAAATTAAATAAGTTTGCTTGAATTGCGAGTTAACCAAGAATAAAAAATCCAAGAAAGTTCAAAACATTTCATTTTGTTACTGCAACATTTATTCACATGTAAAGCTTTCATAATTAAAAATAATATGAATTATACTACGTAATTCACCTGGTAAAGAACTCCCATACCTTTCAGACTTTTTTGGAAGCATATACTACGTTTAAATCACGCGATTCTAAAATAAACTAAGTAGACACACGCTTTAGTTTCGTTGATAATTCGTCATGATAAAAATTGAAAGTCATGTTTTTCATGAGCTCTATGAAGCAAGCTCATGGAACGTCCTCGGCAATGACTACAGAATGAATAATATAAGGATGAGGAGGGTGCGCAGCCGTAGACCAGCAAATCAACGCTCAAATCAGCCCTAGAGCCAACATCAACCATCTAAATGCTATAGATAGTCATCCTGACACCTAAGCAGCTGTAGTCAATTGACCTATCTCACCATACGAACTTTAAACCAACACTGCTTCAGCACACAAGCTGCTACTCCACATAGTTAACGGTCAATACGTTGTTCTCCAATGCTTTATAACCCATACGATCACTTATTATACATGCTGTTATCCTAAGTGTCCGCTGACCACACTGCATTGTCGCAAATGGGAACTGTACCAAACGGTAATGCGTCATCACCTTACTTACTCCGCAAGACGTTCCCCGCATCTTCTTCCCCCACACTTACCCCGACTCTCCACCATTATCGCATGGCTAACTGGAGGCTTTTCTCGCAGACCTTTGATGCTTATCCGAATTAGGTTAGGTTAGGTTAGGTTACAGCTCGTATAGATCCTCTTTTCATAGCGTAATGCAGTCAAGCGAGCAGAAACTAAGAAAAGCCGTCCGGCAGTCGATGAAAAAAGGCGGGGAGACGGGGTAAGCGAGGAGGTAGAATTATGCTGGGGGAAAACAACTGCGACGAACGGACGGGCTGGAGTGCTGGCTGTGTATCAACAGCGGTATGGCGTAGCGCGTAGGGAGTTGCTTACCGAAAATCGTGAGGTTAGACGGCATGGGATAGAGCTGTTGGGCGGTTTTAAATACGGCGTAGAGCGATTGTATTGGTNATATAATCACTTAGTCTACTCTGCCCTTTAGCAGGCTTACGCACGGAAAGGAGGATGAAAGATATGCTGGTCTTGGGCAATGCTGGCCTCTGGCATGCATCCCGGATGAGGAATTAATTAAGAAAGAAAAATTTATAATTTATCATTGCTGTGAGAGATCCTCACTTTGCATGGCGATGATCTCGGGCCTCCGGCAGCAGACGTGCACGGCCGCGACAGAGGAAGTCTTGCATAAGGTCACGGCTCCGTTGTGTCGCGCCACGCCCCCCGTCCCCATGCAGGTGGTCAGCTCTTCGCAGCGGCCAACAGCTCCGTCCGCAAACACGCACTCCGGACCCAGGTTCCCATCCGTCCGAACCACTGCAAACCCAGCAGCGACTTTATTATTGGGAGAATTGTTATGTTTTGACGACATGCAGTCGTCAAAATAAATTAAGGGCTCGTGCAATCTACGGGTTGAGACTGCTTCCCTCACTCGCACTTTTGTTCAGTCTTACAGCATCAAAACAATATCCTATTGTCTAAATAAAATGTAAAGATTAATATATAGATGTTGGCGAAGATTATGCAAATTGAGATATTGTCACTCTACTCTGCGCTTATCGTCATATTCTGTAACATTGCACACTCCATTTCACAACACCTGTTGCACACTCAGCGTCACAACACCTGCAGCAGCACCCACCTGCCACCAAGCGGTGCCACTGCTCATCAACAGCCCC